TCTTTCTTTCTTTCTTTCTTTCTTTCTTTCTTTCTTTCTTTCTTTCTTTCTTTCTTTCTTTCCTTCTTTCTTTCTTTCTTTCCTTTCTTCCCTCCCCCTCTCTCTTTCTCTCTCTTTTCTAAACTCTGTCAATATCCTTCACATATATGACTAAACAAAAAGTAAATGGACTAATCAGTCCAAGCTGCCAATTAGTATGTGAGAGAGTCATTCCCAAATTTCTGAGGTTGCATAATTGTCTCACAGTTCACAATTGGTATTTTGTGATTAGATTAAAGGCATACTTCTCAACAGTTCTCACACTGACTGCCAGAAGGAACATGGCTACTGAAATCACAGGCCCATGAAACTTTAGGAGGGCCTTCTAACTTTGTCCCCACCTAAAACAAGGGATTCGAGACAACACAGCTGACATGTGGTTAGTACCTTAGGCGCATGCAAAGTTATGGACCATGGTTATTAGAGCATCATTCGTTATCAACTCATATTATGATCAACTAAAATCAACACGATCTGTCTTCCAGACCTGTCTTCCCATATATCCTTGACCTGCTAACTAGCTACTTTATATTATGTATTTAGAAAGATTAGTTTGATATCTTCTCTATAACAAAACATTGTCGTTTTTTCCAATATTGTCTGAAAAGCAAGGATTATATGACTTTTCTTAGGTTTCTTTCCTGTACATGAGGAAGTTGTCAGTAATTTGGTGTCTCATTAAAATGAGAATCCTGAAGTCAGCCTATACTTAAGTGTACAGCACACGAGAATTGCTATCTACTTTAACTTAGAATATGAAGTTGTAGTCTCATCACAAAAATCATTGCATTGGATTATTCTCAAATCATGTAATAACACAAGTATTTTGTACCAGGCTTCAATTAAGAGGGGAGAATGGTGATATTATTATTATTATTATTATTATTATTATTTTATTAAAAATCTCTTTTAAAAAGTAGCCAGTGAAAGCCACTGGAAGCTAAGTATTTTGTTAAAACTGAGCCTCAAATATTCCTAACATAAGTGTTCTTAAGTTACATCAAATATATATAGTTTTGTGTTTGATAGATAGCTTTTGAACCTAGACATATTTATAATTTTAAGTTTGTTTTAATAGATTCAATATATAGTTCTTACTGCTATGCCAGTCCTCAAAATATTATTTATCTCCCACACTCATCTGACCTTCATGAGTTGGATATGTCTACCATTTTGTGGTCATTATAATTCCTGCCAAGTTTGTAACACAAGAATAAGACAAGGAAAAGAGGTCATCACTTCAAGCCTCTGTCTCATCAGACATCAATATCTCTAAGATATTTAGCTCAACCAAATATAAACCCATTAAAATGCACATCTTAGTGACATCTTCCTGTCTTATTCATGTGTACATTTAAGTGGACATCTCAGATTCTTCCATAATTGCAGTGGCTACATGAAATTGATTTGTCTCTTGTTATTACCTATAGGTTATGTATTATTTATCACATCATCTAGAGGTTAGTAAATATCTGTCCCCTATCCTTATATAATGCTGACTAATGAACAGAGATGAATGAATGATGGCAGTTATGATTATTTTTAACATTGTTAAATGATAATTCTTTATAGATTGATTATGATGATATTCTTAGTGGTCTTCAAGGAAGCTTGTCTGTTTTTTCCTTGGAAGATAAAGATGTCTACATCTACAGGGAAAGATAGGCAGGGGTATCACTCATTAAAAAAAAAGGCTCAGTTTGTCCATATTTTGTTGTACTCTACTGAAACTGTATAGATATCACCGGATACTCTATGAAATATTCCTGAGCTTCAGCTCTGAAAACTAACACTAAGTTGATGATCTAGAACATACAATGTTGTAACTGATGTACTTTTGGACCTAAAATTTGTACCATTTATCAGTACTGACATGACAGGACAGTGGGGTCAGACATTAAAGCCTTCAGAGTTTCCAGTCAATCATCATCTCTAAAGCTTACAGTTTGGTCTTTATTGCCCTTAAGAATCCTGACCCTCACACCCCTCTCTTTCGCTTGAAGTTGTACCAGGATCTCTCTAACTTCTGTCCCACCCTTCTATCCTATTCTCCCACATGGAAGCCTCAAAGAAGCTTTGCTTACTTCCAGTCCTTTAATATCCTGAATAACATGTTTTCTTTATTAAATCTGCAGTTTCCTAGACACCTGGGGGGTGTCCATATATTTGGTATTGGTTTCTGGCAATAGGTTAAGACTTCAATATTATCCCTCTACCACATCGGTTTTCATTTTCTCTTAATGCATTTTGTCTTCTTCCCATTGTCTAATCTCCCCCATCCTTGTATAACATAAGTGAAGCTTTGCTTTCATTTTGTCATGATTAATATTACACTATATGCCTTTGGCAGTGACTTTATTGTTGCCTAATATCACTTTTCCCACTATGAGAGAAATAACCCTGCAATGTTTGTGCTTTCCTGAGGCCTTTTCCTACCTTTTAGTTACAGGTGTACCTTGAGAGATGAGCAATCAATTTTACAGGGAAGGACCTCAAGCAGAGGTCCATTTCAAGTGGCCCTAGCAGAGAGATGGGGTCTGTCTCTCAGGCTGGTATTAGCAACCTGTGCTTGGAGAAGGGAAGGAGGGGCTTCCTCTCACTGCCCATGAACATAAGGGAGAAGTGAAATGCCCCTGCTGGCTTGGAAATTTGTCAGCTGGGCACTGTCTGAGCACACCCTTGGCATGCAGTAGTGATGAGCAGTCCTCTTGGAGGAGAGAAACCAAATGGAGGGTGGGGGACGGGCGAATTAATGTTCAATGAGTGTCAAAAGAATTTATTAACTCAGTGAGGTGTGGAAGTTTGATTAATAGGGAATTGAGGAAGATGAAGTAGAATCTGTAATGGAACAAAAACCAAAGAAGTAAGACTTTCATTTCCTTCTAAGCTAAAGGAAGCAGTTTCCACTGTATATGAAAGGGAGACTTAGGTAAAAGTTCATCATACTAAACCAAAGGTCAGAAGTGTCTAAAGTCACAGAGCCATTACTTACATAAAGGGAGGGCATTCAGAGTACGTGGAGCCAAAGAGTTGAAAGTAAATGTAAGCCTCATGTATGATTTTGTATGTCCTATGAGCTTTGAGAAGTCTCATGAGCTATCTGAGTTACATAAGCAAATAGTTTGTACAGAGTTATTGCAGATGACATGGAAATGAACACAGTGTAAAAGTTAGGTACAGAAGCAGCAACTAAGTAGAAACTCAGCAAAGTCCAATGATCAGAATGTTTAAAGTATTTAACAGGCAAATAAACAAGCAAACAAACACCTAACAAGGATAAAATCAGGTTAACAGCTAGACAGGTCACAGTGCCCCTTGGACAAAGTGCATGAGGAGAAGCAGTTGGTTTTCAGAGAGATTTTTCTTCCAGCTCCTGCTGGCTATTATCAGTGATAAGACAATACAGAAGAGCATTATAGGCAAATCCCATATGAGCAGCTGAATCAGCTGCTTACAAATACCTGTGAAGTAAGATAATCATGGGACCCCTCTCCAAAGGAGAAAACCTGAGACACTTACATACTTCCCAGGGATGCTGGGCTGACTATTCACACCAAGATATCTCATATGGAAGTCATTTTGCTTCTTTCACACCGGTGTATCTAGATTCCCTGGCCATGAGCTTAGGGACCTTTTGAAAAGAATTTGCCTCCATCTACCTCTGGGTGGACATAAGGTGCCTTCTGTGAATGCATGTCTTTCTGTCCTGTCCCTTGGGATAACAATCTCACCCCAGGCTCAGGTGTCTTTTAAAGCACATGTCTTCCTACATATCTAGCAACTTGAGATATTTGCATTCTGCATTCATGACAGGAAATGTCCAACTTGCTTCCTATCAAAAGCTCAATTGAGAGAAAGAAAGGAAAAAAAAAAAACCACCCTGAATGGCATGTTTTCATTTTCCCAGACAGGCAGACTCAATCTTTAGAAGTTAGAACAGCTAAGCAATATGCAATGGGCTTTAACCTTGTGGAATTATTTTACTCAGTGTATACTTTGGGTCCCTCCAATTTGCTTCCCTTGAGGATCATTAACACAGAGTCTTTAAACTCATTGCCATTGTCATTTTATCTTAGGATCTTAATGACTCAAAATGTGTTTTTTATGAGGAAGCAGAGAGGAGAGAAATGTTCTCCTTCTAGCCATATTGTTCATGTGGATCTTAACAATTAGGGAAGACTTTCTCCTCAGCCCCCTTTTCCTTCTTTCTTTTTTTGCAACAAAATCTCTGTGTAGCCACTACTGGCCTTAAACTCCAA